AAAAAGCACCATATATTAAAAAAATAAACCATATATTGTCGCAATCGTGTGTTTAATGTCTTCACGTTTGCCTTTTATTCAGATCATACAGTGATAGCTGGATGCTTTTGTTCATATTAGGGATTTCCTGGTAAGTGGTAAGTTATTACTTCTATATGAGTCCATCTTGCACTTTCTGCGCGAGAGCGCCCTCCGGCTTCCAGTATAAATGAAACACACACTGAATGTTCATCTCACCTCATTCTGGGTATTAATAAAACATTAAGTCATGCACAGACTATCTTGTCTCTTTGAATTTAAATCTATATTCTTTCACACCGGCCCTTTAAAACCTCTATAACACACTATGTATATGGGGGGGTATGTAGAATATGGTCACGCATAATAAGGCATTAGTGTGTGCTTTATGAGTACTAATAAACAGCTAATATAGTAACATGCAAGCAACTAGTTAATAACTAAAGTGTTACATTAAATAAATAATATTATGTTAAAAAATATAAATGTTTGTGTGTGCGCATATATTGGCTAGCGGCAGCTGGCACTCCTTATGTGTGTGTATGTTCTTTAAGGGAAAATGTTTATGCAATTTAGCTTATTGGGTTCATATTCTGATCGCATCTGCTTGCTGGTATATAATATGCATCATCAAATCTTTTATTTAAAAAAAAAAATTTAGTTTACAGCAAAAACGGCAACAAACGATCGTGACTCCTGGCACGAACTCTGGCAGCTGATACATAAAAATGTATAATAATATTAATAATAATAATAATACAATTGTGGGAACTTTGCATCATCATTTAAAAAAAAAACACCACTGCACGCCACTGAGAACAGTGTAGTTTTAGCAAGCAAACAGCAAAAACGGCGAGAAAGACCGTGGCAGCTGCCGTGGCATCTGGGGATGCCACCGGAAGTGGCGCTGCCAGAGAGAGCGCCAGCTCTTGCTGCCTGGGACATCATTCACTACCCTCTCCCTCCTTCATTTTTTAAAGTTAGACATCAACTTTCTTAGTATTCCTCAATCCATTTATTATAAACAACAAGAAAAAATAATAAAGGAATGTCTGTTTTCTGATTATTTTGTTTGTAAAAAGTGGTAGCTAGCAACCCGAGGTATGTAATAGTGCAAGTATATTTTCCTGTGCAACAATAATTAAATATCTGATGACTCAATAAGTCCAATTCTCCTTTATTCCTCAAGGCACCGTTTGAAAGACAATGATGAGGTGATGTTTCACTCATAATTAGGCTACAGCAGGCATAAAACAAAAGAATATCATCAGCAAAAAATGAACTGGCTTGAATGGCTTTACAACATGCAATTAGCCTACTGTACGCAATTAAATAAAAGTGTCACTATTATTTGACGGTGGATGTGGTGAATAAGCTACCAGTTATAAAAATACAGATTTTAAGTCATTGAAAACGATATAGTTTTAAGAATATGGTTAATATGAGCCAGATTCTGAATGTGGGTAAGTGCGTTCTGACGGTAAATATCAGGAGAGTTTTATGCTATTGCAGCAGTCAGACCCATCCGTGTTGGAAATAGGTCTAGGTCGCTTAAGACCCGAGCATGTAATGACTTGGTGACATCCAACCATTTAAGGGTTAAGAATAACTCAAACTGATTGAGTTGCAGCGGATTTCATTTTCCCAGCAAGTTTCAAACTAAAATGTTGAAATTCAATTTTGTGTGATTTTGCACAAGATTAATACGGGGGGAAATTGTTAGTGTTAAATGTCCTTTTATGTTGGGATTTTAAAGGGTTACTGTTTTTGAGGGGTTACCATTGTGGTGAAGAATATAGCCTGTCAAGATGTTGCTTAGAAAAAAAAAAGCACACTACAGTGTGGTGGTATTCTCATAATGTTATTTACGACTCCATGCATGCTTGTGTTATTACTTAGCTAGTAGTTAAAAAATACCGAGAGATTTGTGTTAAAATTTCTGATTTTATTTGTTTTATGCAATTTAGTTAAGCTTTAGCTATACACTCTTAAAAATAAAGGTGTCATAGAAGAACCTTTTTGTCTAAATTGTTCCATAAAGAACCTTTAACATCTGAAGAACCTTTCTGTTTCACAAAAGGTTCTTTGTGGCGAAATAAGGTTCTTCAGATTACAAAAAGGTAAGAAAGAGATGGTTCTTTAAAGAACCTTTGACTGAATGGTTCTTTGTGGAACCAAAAATGGTTCTTCTATGGCATCGCTTGAAGAACCTTTTGAAGCACCTTTATTTTTAAGAGTGTACATAAAGAATTTGAGTGAATTTACAGATGAATTGTAAGAAACATTCTCTCTTTTTGTGAACTTAAATCTAACTAAATTAAGTGCTTCAGTGGCAAAACACAGAAAGTGATTGCAAATGCTTATGTTGCATAAGTGATTGCTTATGATGCAAATGATTATTTAAAATTTCAATTTTTAAATAGTGGCAGGATTATACTCAGCTGTTTTCAACATCATAATAATAATAAATGTTTTTAGAGCAGCAAATCAGAATAGCAGAATGATTTCTGAAGGATCGTGTGACTGGAGTCCGATAGCTGTACGCTTTTGTCCATATTAGGAATTTCCTCGTACGATTTTCTGCTTGAGAGCGCCCTCCGGCTTCGAGTATGAATTAAACATACACTGCACAGAGTGTTTAGCGCTCCGCGATGTTCATCTCGCCTTATTCTGGGTCTGAATAAAACATCAGATCATGCACAGACTATCCTGTCTCTTTGAATTTAAATCTATATTTATTCACACCGGCTCTTGAAAACCTCTATGCGAACACACTTGCCCAAAAAAGTGCGGGGGACGAATTTACGTGATATTAAAAGTGGGGGGGGGACACGTCCCCGTGTCCCCTGCGTAATCTACGCCCCTGATTGTTGATCAATAGTTCACAGTAGTTCAAAATGTGTTAACATACTGTGGTTGAGAGCTTGGAACATCTAAAGAAGGTTCATAGTTTGTGCAAGGTGTCTTTTGAAATATTTCAACATCTTCTTTAGGAAGAAACGGTTAATCACATGACTCAACATCTGGTTAACAGTAAGCCAGAGACATAAAAGCTCCCTCTTTGTAGCCAGTTTCGTGGTCTGCTGTGAGGAGAAATTGCAGTTTGAAAATGCTATTTTCACACAGACTATAATAGGGGTATCCAAACTCAGCCCTGGAGGGCCAGTGTCCAGCAGAGTTTGGCAACTTGCCTCAGCACACCTGCCTGGAATTTTCTAGCATGCCCAGTAAGACCTTGATTAGCTGGTCCAGGTATGTTTAAAGTGATAGTTCACCCAAAAATGAAAATTATCCCATGATTTACTCACCTTCAAGCCATCCTAGGTGTAAATGACTCTTCTTTCAGACGAATACAATTGGAGTTATATTAAAAAATTCCCCGGCTCTTCCAATCATTATAATGGCAGAGAATGGCTGCTGCTATTCAATAATCCAACAGAAGTCAAACAAACTGCATCTATCCATAAAAAAGTGCTCCACATGACTCCGGGGGGTTAATAAAGGCCTTCTGAAGTAAATTGATGCATTTCTGTAAGAATACTATTAATTTTAAAAACTTTATAAACCGGAATCTCTAGCTTCCGCTAACTGTCCTATGCATGTTCACGAGAGAGTGGCGTTCCAGCGGATGATGTAGGATGTATGCGTAGCATAAGCTCTGGTGAGAATAGTCTCATGAGAACCAAGTTTTGTTTACAGGAGCAAAGGAAGCAAAGTTTCCTTTGTTCAGCAAAAGGAAAAACCAGTCTCCTCGCAGCTTATATCGAAATCCTCCGACATTTTTCTTTACAAATCCTCATTCTGTACTTCTAATTTGTGACCAGTGTTTTGTTTTGCTTTGTCCTCTGCACTTCTGCGTTAATCACTTCTCTCCAGAGCTCAAAAAATGTCTAATAATGTCTACCGGGTCCACATGTAATGCAAAATATCATTACAGGGTCGAAAATAAGTATATAAGTTTTAACAGAAAAAAATAACAACCAGTTTCCTTTGACTGTGCAGAGTGTGGCGTCAAGCTGAGTGCAGATTACCTTGACGCAGCCAGATCAGGCGCCAGTTGCATAAACTTAGCCTCTATGTTAAGAGAGTGTCTTAAGAACTAGTTTGACCAACTAGCAGTTAACCAAGGGGTAATCAATCTGGTATTTTTGATTTCTAGACTAATATAGGTTCTTATGTAACCTAATTTTAAACAATTTTGACCAGTCTTAAAGAAAAAATTAGATGACTTTCTTTTAAGACTTTTCTAAACCTTTTGTGCAGCCGGCCCCAGAACAGCATTATCAGAACACTATGCAGGTGGTTGAGGCAGACCAGAAGCTGAGGCATAACCTAGGGAAGAAGAATGTTGCAAACAAGAGTGCTTAATACATGTACACTAGGGCACAATGACAGTTGTTGCCTAATAGTTAGAGAGTCGGACTTGTAACCTGGAGGCTGAGCAAGGCACTGAACCCCCAATTGTTCTCAGGCGGCTCAGTAAAAGTGGCTGCCCACTGCTCTGGTGGTGTGTGTGTTCACGACTCACTGCTGTGTGTCTGCACTTGGATAGGTTAAATGCAGGGCACAAATTTCAAGTATGGGTTACCATACTTCACTACACTTCATGTCACTTTCACTATACACTATGAAATTACAATGATTTTTGCCAATTTTTTGTGTGTGTGTGTTTTACTATCAAAAAATTTAACCATTTGTATTATGTATTCTAACTGTATAGGTTTGGTAATGTTGCTAATGCACAATAATGCTAAAAGTTTTTTTTTGGAAACTCAAATATTGAATTGCAAATGCTAAGCTCCATAATTGTATCTTAATTTTCATTTCTCGGGTGTGGTTGACAATCAAAACTACTCCGAATTACTCTGCTTTTATACTATGTGGTAATTTGGCTGTGGATTCATGAAAGCTGGGCTGCGGCACAGAAAAAGGAAGTTAAAGCTCTCAGAAGAGTATATAACTCCCAGCTCTGTCTGATCCAGAACAGTTTCTCTGAAGGCTCTCATCATGTACCTGTTGGTGGTGGTCATCTCTCTTCTGCTGAGCTCTGTTCCCGCTCAGAGCCGTCCTGTTGAGGTGAGAACAGACAAAATTGAAACGGAAAATTATATCATCATCAACAGCTGTTTCCTATTGGGAGCAGCTTTTCATTTTTACCAAGAGTTTTGACATACTTGTGTTTAAAATCTATCAATAGGATTTAATTGAAAAGATCTCTGGGAAGATGGGTAAGAAAAGAAAAAAAAGATTCTAACTTTCTAATTTCTAACTAATGTTTTTAGCGTTTTATTGTTAATTTACTGATTCATGTATCAGGTAACATCACTGAGAAAGATGACATGCCAGTGTCAACTATAATCGAGACCAACAAACATGCAGGTAAGAGTATGCAAGATTTGATAGTATATATCTTTTGTGTAGCAGTTGATGGCAAATTCCTCTTCATCCTATTCATATCAGTGTCAGTAGACTGAATGATTTTGTGCATTATACTGTGTACCACACAGGACAGCGAGTGGATGGGCCCTTGATCACGTTTGGAGACATCGCCGTATCAACAGGGTTCAAGAATGCAGATCCGTGCACAGCTCGTGAATGCAAATGGGAGAGAAGCACAGACGGATTAGTCTATGTGCCCTACGTGATCTCCAACCAGTACTGTAAGTGACAATGATCACTACTTTTGATATCTTGTCAGTGTCACATGATCTTTTTAATAGTGTACCCCTACCACAGCTCCAGATGAACTAAAAGTGATTGAAAGAGGCTTGCGGTCATTTGCGGATGTTTCCTGCATTCGATTCGTACCACATGAAGGGCAGAGGCACTTTCTCCACATAATGTCTGATTCTGGGTAAATCTTCTGATTTAGGACTCCTTTCTATCCCATTTCTGTTTATATAGTAAATGTGCTTTCCCGAAACATAAATATACAACCTGATTGCTGATGTGTTATGTGTGATCCACAGTTGCTATTCATATTTGGGGCGCCAAGGTGGAGGACAGGTTGTTTCTCTCGAGCGTCCTGGGTGTGTCTATCACCATACTGTTCAACACGAGCTCCTTCATGCTCTCGGGTTCCATCATGAACAGAACCGCAGCGACCGCGACAAACACATCAAAATCCTTCTTGAGAATGTCTTACGTGGTATTTTTCTTTAGAAAAAACAAAGATGATAAAATAAAACGGTTACACTTTATTTTGATGGTCCTTTTAACACATTCTGTTGACTATAAGTAACGTTGCACCTACATATCTACTAGCTCTCAATAGAGTGTTGGTAGAGTATTAGCAGACTGTTAGGGTTAGAATAAGTTAACACGTACTTGCAAAGTTACTGATAATCAGTAGAATGTCTGTTGGGCCACCATCTCAAAAAAGCAGATATTAATCAGACAGTCTACTAATACTCTAATGAGAGTTAGTTGACATGTAGGAGCAACGCTACTTATTGTCAACAATGTTCCAAAGCGACCATCAAAATAAAGTGTTCACAATAGAACAAAGAATAAGAAAACAAAAATGCATAATACATGGCATGTTACATTAAGTCACAATAATTGCAGTCTAGATTAAATTTCACTGTGTATTTACCTGGTTTACATTTATAGTTTAATACTTTTCTATGCACTGTAACAGAAAAGCAGAGCAATTTCAAGAAAAGTGAAACCAATAATCTGGCAACCCCCTATGACTACAACTCTGTGATGCACTATTCAAGGTAAGTGTTCTTGTAGCTCAGTGAAAATGTGATTTTATTTGTATTCATTTTATTTTATTTATTTATTAGTATTTAGGGGTTGGCATGCTAAAAACATAATCATCACAGTTTACTGTTGTTTCTTTATGTGTGTTGTTTTAGGAAAGCTTTCTCCAGGAACAACGAGCCAACCATGATTCCCATTCCTGATGGGAACGTTGTGATTGGTGAAGCTCGAAGTATGAGCCGCAATGACATCCTGCGGATTAACAGACTCTACTGCAGTATGTTAAGACGTTACTGTTAATTGAATTAAAACAGCATTTTGTGATTCTTTGCTGAAAACACCACCTCAGACCACCATGAATTTACACACAGTTCCAGGGTGTTTTATGCTGGTTAGCAGATGGGCCGCCATACCCATGCTGTTCACTAGCAACACTTACCTGGTCTACCAGAATTATTTTTTTTTTCTTCTTGCTTGACCAAGGTAATATTGCTGGCTAAACTAATCAAGCGGGCTGGTGGTCTTTACAGTGGGATTTATAATTATTGTAACTCTTATGACAACAAAATCTTGTCTTTCTTTTCATGTTCATTGTTTATTATTATTAATATTATTATTTTTTTCTCAGGTTGAAGTGCTGCCAGGCTGCATGAAGGATGTGTTTGATGATAGTATTCATCTTTTCATCTTAGCATTCATCATTCTCTATCATCCTTTTTTAATGTTTCCTTTTTTGCACATCACAGTTTCATTAGATTTTTCGCATTCTATCTTTTAAAAATTCTATCTTTTAAAAATTTTTCAATCAGACACCTCTTCGTACACATTCAGTATCAGAGGTTTGTGAGAAACCAACAAAAAGTGCATATATTGTATACTCAAAATGCTTTTTAAAGGGGTTCTATTATCTTTTTTAACCTTTTCTACTTTAGGTTGCCATTTTTGAAAATACAAAATGTTTCAAGTATAATATTCTATCAAATTGTGTACCGTCATAAAACATGAGTACATTTTTTAACATCAAGTATTATATATGATGAACATTAAGGATAACATACATAACAAAGATTTAAAAAAAAGGAAAAACGGCAACAACAGAATGAAGGGTATACATGTAGAGTCAACATAAAAAGGAGGAATTTAGTTCTCCATAAATGTCCATAGTTCTGATACCTTTACAGCTTGAATGTCTTTGTAAGGTTTCAAAATAAATCTTGAAGTCAGCCTTGAAATGGGTGTTATTGGTATCTTTCAGACCACTTACATTTGTGTATGTAAAACTTACCAAGTAATACGACAGTAATATTAAGTTTTTACATAAAAATGTGACTCTTCTCTATCTTTTTGTCATAAAAAATAATAACATTCAACATCAATCCAAAAGATTTTAACATATATACATTTAAAAAAATGAATAAATAAATTTTAAAAAAATATGAAAAATGTGTTATTATAGGAGTCCAAATCGACTTCCAATTAATATTCTCGAAACGGTATTTATTATGAAATGTTGCAGGGCAAATCAAACATCCAGAAATGTATAATCGCATTTGCTGTCTTTAATATCAACACCATTTAATAAGATTAACATTTAATTCATTTTAAAAAATGTTGTTAGCTTATAAGATTCACTGGTGGTGTCTTGCAAAAGTCTCAAAAAACCTGCTGGTATTGCATTGCTAATACAATGCTATATTCTTGTGAATTCAGTATAAATAGACTTCACCATTTATAAATGTGTGACAAAATTAGAATATTATTCTAAACCCAATTGTCATAGAAAATTAATTTATTCTTGTATTTAACATTTTTATTATTCCATATTGGCTGTTTGTGGGGGAATAATTATATAATATACATTACATACATTATATAATATACCATAGATTATCTTTGTGTTGAATAAAATGTTTAATCCAGTTCAACTTGAAAATTGTATTAGAAATAACAAAATCAAACACATTCGAACCTTGCTGATTATGAATTGCATAAAATACTTCTATTTACATAATAAATCAATATTTTAAGAAAAGATTTTGAATCAGTATTTTTAAGAAAAGATTTTGGTGTGTATCTAATAGGCGACTTTCACAGGATAGACTAAACAAGGTAGTCCCTTGTTTTAGACAAAAGAATCCTACCTTTGAATGAAAAATCCCTCATGAGACACACACACACACACATCTATATATAGCCTACAGTGGCATAGCGGACGGGCCCCGCGATAAGACGATGATAATGTATCGACGATAGCCAGAGATATTGTCAAAAGCATTACATATTGTCATTATTAAGAGTATTTGGCATTTCCAATTAATGTAGGCTTGTTACATTCTGGCTATTATTATTTGGTTACATTTTTTATTAAATTAATAGCCTATTACAATTAATTTGCTCTGCAATAATTTCATAGCGCATCACACCTGCACTTCCGCAACTGACATCACTTGCAGTCTTTTTTTATTTTATTTAATTGATTCATTATTTTTTTTAATTGATTCTCTCAACATTTTACACAAGTAGCCAGGTGGTGAAGACAAGAAAAAAGAAACTAAATCACGAAGTCACTTGCAATTGCCGCTTGCACTCTCAGCTTGCAATCCACACGAATCGTGCATGTTGCCAATGGAGACAAGACGCTGTGGTGGTTAATTGATTAAAACTAATTTAGTACTAGGCTATAACATACCGGGTCCTGCAAGTCATCTGTAGGAGAAAAAGACAACACCCACAAATCCGTGGCCACAGAACAGCAGAATATGAACGCAATGTGCAAAGTCTCTCATGAAGAAACCATAAACACTTAATAGGCTATGGCTTAATGTATTAAGATAGTGCTATTAAAAGATCAAATTCAAGTTTATTAATATAATGTATGTATATAGTGTTTTCCTCCCATACCGCAAAAGGTGGCATAATGACTGGCATAACGGTCTAAGATTATAAAGACCTCATATGCTCCTCTAAAACATAATTAATATGTACAGATAAGCAGGTGAGACCAGAATAAACAGAGTTGGTCCATTTAATATCACTTAATGAATTTCTTAATGCGTGTTCATATGGTCTGTGTAGTTTGCATCAACAATAAGAAATACTGAATTTGGTCTTTATCATCTTAGTCCGTTATGGCACAAGCGTTGCTGTAGGCGTATGGGAGGAAAAGTAAAAGTTTGCTCGTTGTGTTCATGGGCATATGGTTGCCTTGTAGTAGTACATTAAATTAATAAACTATATATATATCGAATTTGATCAGACCCTTCTCGAAGAGTCAGGTATGTTTTCGCCTGTCCCGATATGAGAGTTGCCTTCACCAATACGGCGGCGACGTGCGGTCGAGTGGACAATGAGGCGTCTAGGTATTTATTATGTCTATGGGTATAACTGCCTCCAGCCAATAGTTATTGACTTAAATTTCAAAATAAAATTTCAAAATTAAACATTGTTTCTAGTTCATTTAAAATAAAATATGCTATATAAATAAATATTCTCCATGAGAGCAGAGCCCAAAGCTCGTGGCCAGTGGTGATCGGACTGGAGTTTGAACCTCTGCTTCATGATGTAAAGGGAATCACCCACGAGCTCTCCCGCAAGCTGTCAGCACAGCACAGGGGAAAGATCTTACTCTATGGTCAACCAATTGTTCTAATAATCGTCAGATTAATCGATTATCAAAATAGTCATTTGTTGCAGCCCTATTCAACAGCACCACAAACAATGGATCAACACTAGATACAACCAGATGTCTAAAAGCTGTCTCAGGCATGTGATCGACCAAGCAAGGGCGCGTCTACGTGGTGGCCAGGGGTGGCACCGGCCCCCCCTGAAATTTGGCTGGCCAGCCCAGGTGCCCCCCCTACCAGATGTCTTGGGATAGGCTTGTTTTTAGTAAATTTCTAACTGCATCTTGCAGTGGCGGATCCTGACATGTGTAGGCAGCTGCCTAGGGCCGCTTTCTTCTCTTCTTTATACTTAATTTTAGGCGGTTTCTATAGTGTGATCTTAAAGGGGTCATATGATGCTGCTACAAAGAACATTATTTTGTGTATTTGGTGTAATGAAATGTGTTTATGCGGTTTA